TCCAAATATCAATATACCGTCATTGTTTTATTTCTGATTGCCACATGTTTCAATACCAAATTAACACTGGATTATGCAATATTTAATTTTTTTTTCCTTTGTTGAAGAATATGAGCGATACCATCAATAACACCATGCTCAATACCACCAGTCAAAACCAGATGATATTCGTTGCCGGCCTAGCAGCCGATCTAAATCAGATGGAGGAAGACATTATAGAATTTTGTGACCAGACTCTAATGGGCGTCAACGCAGCAAATTACTCAAAGTATCTGAAAAATGCTCTAAATTTTTCCATTGGTGCTTTTGTATGCAGAAAATATTTATACGGAAGCATGATTTAGACACATTTGTCAAAGAGATGCTTGCTGAGGATCTATATGATTTTGTTGTAAAAGTGCCCCATATACCCATCGAAATCATCGACAAATATGGACTTTACGAAGATTATGAAGACCTGATGAATCAAGAAGAAGAAGACGACAACGACGACGAAAGCAGCAACAATGTCGAAGGTATAAATTTGAGCACCGACGATGAAATTTCAATGTTTCCTTTGTTTTCTCAATCTTTTTTTTTTTTTTTTTTTTTTTAGCTAGATATAAGGCCATCATATTGTAGATATTTTTTTTAGCCAAGACGATTATCACTGTCGATGAAAAACTGGGCTTTAAATCTGTTTTTCCACTTCTCACAATTGGCTCATGTATGTGAAAAGGGGTATAAGTCAAAAACTAGTTAAAATGAGTTATTTATACCAAATGCATCAGAAAGTAGTCGGCAACGTATGGGAGAAGGGATATAACTAGAAAATATTATAATACAGTGATACACTATGGTGTAAAATGATATAAGTCACTTTTGGAGATTATATTTTTGTGAAAAAGGTGATAAGTGAACTTATACCTACGACTTGAATAGATTTTAAGTGAATAATGGAATAAGTCTATTTGTACCCGAGAACAATAATAAATATCTTGAGATATGTTTGGGTATACGGGTATATGTTTACTTATGTCAGATAATATTTTACATTACTTATGTGTAAAGAGAAACAAATAGACTTATACCTCTTTTCACAAAATTAACTCCACAAATAAAAAATAATATTTTTGAGAAAAGCGGCATATGTATTATACTTATACCTATTTACATATACTAAAGACATATTTATTGGCAAAATGTTAAGGTATAATGTGCACATATATCCCTTTTCTCGTTGTTATGCTGCTTCACTTGCCTTCATACTGTGGAGAGGGATGGTTGTTCCGTTTTTTTTTTTAATTATCTTGTTTAAGGGCGCCAAATTTTTTGTTCAAGTATACATGGTACACGGTAACTTGTATGTGATATTTTGGGCAGCTCTTTCTATTGATTTCTTGTAAATAATATTTCAATAAAAATTAAAAAAACATTTGAGGTTAGGATGTCACAACGTACTAAACACATCCTCAAATTATTAGTGCCGCTGCAAGCTACTCCGGTACCAAATGCAAAAGCAGGTAAGTAAAAGTAAACAAATTATACAATATATTTTATTTTGTGGAGGGTGCTTTCCAATAATAATTTAGCGTAAAGATCTCAACAATATTTTTTTTTACTTATATCTAGGGATGGCAACGATATATCGATTATTATTTTTTATCGATATATATCCAACATATATCGATATATAGGTATCGATATGTGGCTTGCGATATATATCGAAAAAAATCGATATACTGGAAAATATATCGACTTTTTTTCGCTTACGAATACCCACCAAAAAACAGCTAAAATTTTTCATTTACAAAAATAAGGTGAACAATTTTTTTATTTCGACGATTTTCGAAAATTCTGTGATGTGCCACAACACGATTTACACGAATACCACAATAGATGTCACTGCCGCTGCTCAGTCCACTGACGCCAGGGGCCCAGGTACACTCCTTGATTTTTGAGCTTTCTATCATTCTATCTTTGTTCAGGCAATGAAGAAGAGAGAGACAAATATAATCCGAGATCGTTGTACTCTCGACTTGTCATTAATTATTTTGAGCGCAACCCTCAAAAAGTAATTTTTTATTTGTGTGTGTATCAGCTGATTGCAAATTGAAAGGTCAAGGCAAGGCAAGTATCGTGTATCGTTTTTTTCCCTTTGCATTTGCAAATCAAACTGTTTTTTTTTGTTTTTGCTATTGTGATTTTATGCTCAGAGACAATCAGAGAGATAGAATAGATAATACTGATAGTGATAATAGATCTTTATAAAATCTCGTAGTCCTAGGGTGCAATTAAAGTGAACAATAATTATCGAATCATGGCTCCGAAATCAATAATTTGGAGGTTTTTTATTAAAATATCCAAAGAACAAGCTAAATGCAATCTGTGTTCAAAAATCTTAAAAACCTCTGGCAATACTACAAATTTAAAAAATCACCTCAAACAGAAACACGACAAGGTTTACAAACAATATTGTGACAGTGGTACTGACAAGGAAAATGAGGACAAGGAAACCGAGAAAATTCCAGCAAAAAAACAAAAAATGCAGGTCAGTAACTCAGTAACCACTGGATTTTACTCTACACTTTATTGACATTTTATAACAATATTGATCCCAATTGATTTTATTTTTAAGGATCCTAAAGAAAAAGAAGGGGCTATTTCTCCCTCATCTACTATAAGTTCAATAGCAGACGTCGAAATAAATTTAGGAGCCTCCACTTCAATCAGCCCCTGTTGTAGTACTGTTACCAATCCTAGTACTAGTACTAGTAGTACTACCAGTTCCGAGTGCAGTACTAAAAAATTGCTAATTTCCCACCAAGGAAGTAAATCCACAGAAACTATTTTGAGAGAGCCAAGTATAAGTACTATAAGTAGACAACCCACCATAAATCAAGCCATTCGTCAAGTTGCTTCTTACTCAGGTACCTACCTACTTTAAGCTTTAATTTAGTTTCTTAGTCTTTAGGACGTTAAATGCATAAATGTCATATTATTACTTTTGCAGAAGGTGGATCCAAAAACGTCAAAATAACTGAAGCCATTGTCAATTTTATAGTCCAAGATAATTTACCATTCAACACAGTTGAGAGGAAAGGTTTTTTAAATCTAATGAAGGAGCTAGCGCCACTGTACAAGGTTCCGACTCGAAATTGTATCAAAGACAATATTGACAGGAAGTATGACATAGTGTCCGGTGGTTTTAAGAATACACTGCAAAATATAAAACATTTTACATTTACCACGGATATATGGACAGCTGATATGCAAACGAAAAGTTTTATGGGGATAACTATCCATTTTATTAAAAACCATGAAATGCATTCTGCTACATTAGGAGTAACTGAGCTCTCGGAATCACATACTTCAGTTTATATTGCCACCCAGCTAAGTAATACTTTCAATGAATGGAACATTGATGTTAATCGTATTGTAGCAGCTGTGACAGATAATGGAGCCAATATGGTTAAAGCCTGCCAAGATTTCTTGGGCAAAACAAAACATGTGCCATGTTTTGCACACACTATAAACTTAGTATGTGAACAATCCATAAAAAATACTGGACATTTGAATGAACTAATTGAAAAAGTTAGGACCATTGTAGTTTGGTTTAAGCGTAGTGTGCATGCTAGCGACGAGCTTCGAAAAGCGCAGAAAAATAGAGGAATTCCAGAAGGTAATATTCTAAAACCAATTTTAGATGTTAAAACCAGATGGAATTCAACTTATTATATGTTGGAAAGATTTATTAAGCTTGCTGCACTTATTGGAAACATCATATTATCTAATGTTAATGCCCCCAATATGTTAAATGCTGCAGAACTTGAAGATATAAAACAAGTTTGTCAGCTTCTGCTTCCATTGGAGCAAACTACAAAAGAAATGAGTGGACAGATGTACATTACCCTAAGCAAAGTAATACCGATGACAAAGTGTTTGGTGTCTCAATATGAAAATTTTCAAACCAATTCCAATATTGCAGAAGCTTTGAAAACTGCCATATTAAAAGAACTAGACAAAAGATTTGGGACAACAGAAAAATGCTTTTTACTAGCTGCCACTACAATTTTAGACCCAAGATTCAAAAACATTCATTTTAAAGACCCAATTGCTTTGTCAAATATCATTCGACATCTGAATCATGAAATGACTATCCCAATACAAGCAGAGGAGGATGCATCATCTTCTTCTTCTTCGGATCTTTCAGAGCAAACAGAAGGATCTGAGCAAACATTTGATTTATGGGCTCCCCACAAAAATATTGCTCATTCAAAAAAAAGTAAGAAAGGCCAAAAATCTGACGAACTGACACAATATTTGTCCATACCAGTGCGAAATTTGAAAGAAAGCCCTTTAGAAGTTTGGGAGGAGATGAAGGCAGTTTATCCACAACTTTATAAGTTGGCACAGAAGTACCTCTGTGTTCTAGCAACGTCTGTCCCTAGTGAAAGATTGTTTTCGAAAGCTGGTCAAATAGCTACAAAAAATCGCAGCCGTTTAACTGGCAAAAGATTATCCAAACTTTTGTTTCTAGAATCAATTTGTGAAAATTAATTTTTTGTGTTACTCCACATGACTATGAAATATGATTAATAATATTAATATTTGTAATAACTAATAATTATGAAATATATATACATAACAGTTTTTGACTTACATAACCTTAAAAAGTGAAAATAGCTTTGAATCTAAAAAAAAATTGTAGATACTCAGCTTAGGTATTTATTCAAGATTAAAATATTTTTTTTCAATCACAGGATGTGTTTTTATTTTTTAATGAGCTAAAATTCCTTCTTAGTTTTTCATATGTTAATATCTTTTTTAATTTAAAAAAATATATCGATATATCGTTTATATCGATATATTTACTTCGATAAATTTATAAATCGATATAGGGATTTCGATATATCGATAAAACCGATATATCGATATATTAAAATCATTTGCCATCCCTACTTATATCTCTTTCCACATACCTACCTACATGCGATTTACTTTATTTTTTAGAAAGGGAAATGAAATCTCTCAATGATAAGAAAGATAATCCCGATATTCACATCACTGCTGAAAGTTGTATATCCGAAAATGAGCTGGAAACCATTTTACAAAATGCGAATACAAAATTAAATGTTTTTGACGGTAGGTATATTTTTACTTATATCCCTTTTCACATGAATGTGATTTTTTTTATTTTTAGAAAACCAATTAAAATCTGCTAATAATGAGAAAGAGAATCCCTATACGCACATCAGTGCTGAAAGTTCTCTAACCGAAAATCAGCTAGAAATGATGCAACACAATCGTAATACAAAATTAAATGCTTCTAACGGTGGGTATAGTACATAAGACAATATTTCTAAAGATTGGGAATAATAATTATAAAATTTCTTTCTCCAGAGCTAACATTCACATTGGCTTCTGCTAATAATAATTTAGAATCGTGCCAAGAGAATATTTTGCCTTGCTCTGTGACCAAATCTGCGACAGTGAGTAAAACTGTTGAGGAAACTAACAGTAATGGTTAGTAATATTTAGTGCTTACCTAACCGGATTTGTTTTTTTAATGCCATTTTTTTTCCAGAGTTTACATTTACATTAACTTCTGTTAATGATTATTTAGAACCGTGCGAAGAGCATATTTTGCCTTGCTCTGTGACCAAATCTGCTGAGGAAACTAACAGCACTGGTTAGTAATATTTAGCAATACTTATTAAATTGACGTTGTTTTTTCTTTACAAAAAATACTTGAATCTGATATTATTTTTAGATTCAGATTTTCCTCAGCAAGAAGAATTTCCAGATGATTTTCAAAGATTAGAATTACACGAAGACACTTCAGTCCAATTTCAAGAGCCATGTCAGGCAAATTTGCCAAACGAAACTTTATCAGATGATGTTAGTTCAGAAGAAGCGTATAACCCAGATGACGAATCTTCCAGTTCATCAGAAGATAGCAGTTCCACTGATGGTCCCACAACTAGCTCAAGGAAAAGAAAAAGTCTTTCGGGAAATGATTATATCAGCAATGTTAAAAGACCAAAAAATATCACTACTGCTTCCAAAGAACACTTGAAGAATAACAAAAAACAGAGAAAAGCAAAAAAGACCCTTAAAAATGAAACACGAACAGTAAGAGAAGAAAGAAAGAGAAACAGAAACCTAGGTTTGGAATATACAACAAAAAAGGGAAAATTGATAAGAGCTAGGGTCTGCAGGCCATTGTCCAAATGCAAACTTAATTGTCAAGATAAAATAGACCATGAAAAGAGACAGACAATTTTTTCTGAATACTGGCAGATGAAAAGCTTTAATAAACGTGTTGCTTTTATTGCTTCTTTGATAAGAACAGAACCCAAAAAATGTGCAAAACGCAAAACAGAACATATTTCGAAACAAAAAAACAGATTGGTAACACATATATTTCATTTGCCCTATAATGGAGAGCAACTAAGAGTTTGCAAGCAATGCTTCTTAAAAACTTTTGATGAATCAAACCGATTTGTCACTAATGTTTTAAAAAATAAGGCAGAATCCAGTTCTGGTGTCTGTCGTGATGATAAAAGGGGCATGTCCTCTTCCGCAAACAAGATTCCTGATGCTGATTTGCAATTAGTAAAAGAACATATTAATTCAATACCTTCGTACGAAAGTCACTACTCCAGAAAAAAAACAGGAGATAAAAGATATCTTCCGCACTTTTACACTCTGGCTTCTCTTTACAGGGAATATGTTAATTGGCTTCCAGAGGGAAGACGGATTGTATCAAGATTTGTTTACGAAAGGGTCTTTTATTCCATGGGTTTGAAAATAAAGTTATTGAAAAAAGATACGTGTGCCAAGTGTGACAAATTTAATATGCTTATAAAAGCAAACAGTGACGAAGCAAAAACGAATTTGGAATCTGAATTAAGTAAGCATCAAAAAGAAGCTGAGGCTGGTTTTGAGGCAAAACGCATTGATAAAGAATATGCTTTAAACGATAAAACAAAAGAAGTCTTCAGTTTTGACCTTCAGCAATGCCTACCTACTCCAGACATTAAAACATCTGTGGCTTTTTATAAGAGGCAACTCTGGACATTCAACCTAACAGTTCATAGGTGTAGGGACCAACAAGCCTTTTGTTACATGTGGCACGAAGCAGTAGCAGCTAGAGGAGCCAATCAAATAGCTTCCTGCTTATTTAAGCACCTGAGACTTATTCCTGCAAGCATTAAGGAAATAACATTTTATTCCGATACATGTGCAGGACAAAACAAAAACTGCTTTGTGTCCATAATGTTCATGCTTGCTTTACAGGAGTTTCCTAACATTGAGAAAATTAACCACAAATTTCTTACCCCTGGGCATACGCACATGGAATGTGATAATGATCATTCCATTATTGAAAAGAAGAAAAAAAAATATCCATGTCCTATTGAACATCCAAGAGACTGGGTAAATCTTGTTCGTGTATGTGGTGTGAAAAAACCTTTCGAAGTCATTGAAATGTCCCGCAATCATTTCTTTGAATATTCTGCATTACTTAAAACGTTTCTTCAACAAAGAAAAGTTAATGAAGATGGCCAAAAAGTAGTATGGAAAGACATCAAATGGCTATGTTATTCCAAAGAACCGGGCATTATACTTTATAAAACATCCCTTGATGAAGAAGAAACATTTCGGAAATTGAGCTTTTTGCGAAAAGGGAAAACTTGGCCAAAAAAATTTAAAGTTCCTGAGACTTATAAAGGTGCAAACCCCATAAGTAGAGAGAAAAAAAATAAGTAGCGAAACATTCCATGAGTTTTATAAAAACCTAATCACAACAGCTGATGTTAGAGACGTTCTACCCGACGAATCAGATGACTCAGAGGAAGATTAGTTTTTAATAATAGTTCAGAAAATGTATCTTTCTTTGCCTACTTATATTTTTCTATATGCATATTTCAAGATTAAAACTGAATAAAATTTTGTGAAAAGAGGTATATGTAATTTTTTTTTCAAAAAAAATTCAAAATCTGGCCATTTTTTATAATTTGACAAAAATAAAATATTACCTACAAAAAAGTTAAACCTTTCATACTTTACTAAAAAAAAGTGCGTGACAGATCAATAGTTTTTATATTGAAATTAAATATTCAAAAGTTAAAAAAACTTAAAAAGCTAATATCTCAAAATCACTATTTTTTATTTATATCCCTGTTCACATACATGAGCCAATTGTTTGTAACAATAATTAATTTTTTTTTCCTTTGCATAGATGTATAAGTCGAATATATTGTAGGTATTTTGTTTAGTTAGATATAAGACGATTATATTAATAGTAAGTAGCTATTTTCTTTAAATAAATAAGTCCAATTTTCTTTAATAAAGTCTTTTTATTCAATTAGGTTACATAGTAATAATAAATCGAGAAACTAAATTGCTTGGTTGACATTTTGTTGCAGCCTAAAAAATAATTTTATAATAAGTCCTTCTTGTTTATCCAGGAAGAGTCTTTGAATCCAAGCCATTTCACACGCACCTGGTCCACTCCATTTCTTTTCCGTTGTCCAGTTATATTCTCTACCAAATACGCATTGGGATAGCGAGTTTTCTGAATTTCTGTCTCGTAGAAACTACCCAAAATGGGTGAATCATTCAAATCTCTTAGGAGGTAGGTGACTGGAGTTGCCATATTTATTTTATAAATTTTGAATAATTCCGGAGACCAATTTATATTGTAGCCCTTACTAAAATCACATTCCCATTTTTCTACAACCTCGAAGCCACCTGACGGACCCTTAAGTCTGCTCGTTTTCGTCATTGTAGATTCGTAGCGGTTTTCCAGGGTCGATGTCGGATCCTTGTGTAGAGGAGCATTTCTATTTGCTTTATAGCATTTCGGGCAGCCGTGATAATAGCATCCGTGGAATTCAAATACTTGGTTCGTGTCTTCGCAAAAACCATCCACTTTTCGAGTAAAACTGCCTCTAGTCCTTTAGCGGCGTGCTGCATGGAAATGGCTCTCTGATTTTCTTCCCAAATCAACCATTTCAGAGCTATATCAGACTGTTTATCGCGAAACCTATAGCCCCCCTTGGGTATGATTCCAATTGTGCCTGGCTTGAGAAAGTTTCTCCGAAAAACTTTATTGCAGGCCGAAGCTATTGTGACGGCCCCCGTAAAAGGGCAAACATTGGTCGTGGTCATCATTTGCTTCCTGAATTTAAGGCAGGCTTCAGTTAGAATATTGACGTCTGAAATGCAATAATCGATAAATTCTAATTGAAAATTAAAAATTTTATTTCTTTGAGCTTCGTGCCAGATTAAAAGTTTTTCCCGATCTTCTTCTTTTAATGAGTCGAGACCATAGTATTCGATGGCAGGTATCTCTCCAACATAGTCTTGATTCGCCGATGTGTTGAAATAATGCGGAAAGTACCCCTTCTTAAAATTGTCCTCTAGCCCGAAAGCCTTTGGTAGCGCGGCCAATTTCATTGGAAAGTAATTTAAAGAGTCTAAAAATTTCACGTTTTCTATCTGTAACATTATTATTTTAGATCCTCGCATTATAAGTTCCGGTGATAAATCAGTTTCCATAAGAATATGATTCAGGACGAATTGATGGTCAAATGCTTGACCGTTATGTGCAAGAACTATAACAGCCTTGAAAATTTTCCTAATTTGTAGAAGGTGAAACATAAAACCACTTACACATCTCTGGCCTTTTAGAATTTGCAGACGAACACCACAACTACTGCATATGTCGATATTTTTATTTAGGCATTCCGAGCAACGCTGCTTGAAAACTAACAGGTTTGGCTGGTGCTCAAAACTCCCATCTTCCAACTGCTTTTCCTGCATAGTTTCAACATCGTAGAAAATGTATAAAATCTCCTCCGTTTTGGGTTTTCCTGAATCCTTCTGAATATGGCATAAATGTCCATGTGGCTGATGCTTTTTACAAATAGTACAAAATATTTCCCCACATGTATGGTCTCTTTTCGATTTCACAACCTTTAGACAGCCATCACATAATTTAATTTCATTACAAAGGGATTTACCCTTCTCGTATGAGCCTTCACTCTTATGGTGGTTGAAGCAATTGTCGTTCCTGAACCATCTGAGACAGTCGTTACATGTGATTTTCTCCGTTTTGTTGCAAATTGTGGGGCGTCTACAGCTGGGGCATGATCTCACGCATCTATGTTCATTTTTATGGTCGTATGGTACATGGCAATCCTGACAAAAATAGCTACAGCAAAACGCAGCGGTTACCGAAGTAATTACATTATAGTGTCCTGCGTGGTGAATTAAATTCAGATTCTTATTATTGGCTGCACGGTTTGATGGTGGCCCCGAAAAAATCAAGTCACGTCCTTTAGTTTTAGGTCCCTATTTATACACAACAATTCGATAGTCCTCTAAATATTGCTGAAAAATTTCCAACTCGTGAATTCCGCAACCTTCTCCGGGAATTTCTACACGAGCTTGCTCCACCAGTTGTTTTGCCCGAAGTGTTTGAATTTTCCTTATATCGCGGCGCACTTTCGTATAGTCAGGGTCTTTATCGACAAATGCTTTGGCTACAACAAGGGCTCGAGGTAAACATAAGTTATCATCGTTTTTTACTACTGCTATTCCGCGACGATGTTGACACTCTTCCTGAAAACTGTTGTACTTATTTCCTCTTCCCCGTCCTACAGGCAATCTCACCGAAGTTACTCCCAAGCAAAAAGTTTCCGTGTCAAGACCCGACGAATTGGACTGGTAAATACTAGCAATTACATCCCAGACGACGTCCATCGTAATTTTTTCAGCCGGTCTGAAACTAATCCCACCGTCGCCTCGTGCAAAATCTTTACAACCAAAACTGATTGCAACTTGATCCGAGGGGAGAAGATCCTTTGTAGTCTTCCTAATAATATCGCCAATCGCCTCCTTAATCCACGTCGCGGGCTCCATATTTTCAGGGATTTTTTTAAATTTAAATTCTACAGTCCTACCTTGAAGTTTAAAGCGGCGATTTTTTTTACAAAACTCTTTGATGATGATAAATTTCTCCATTTAAATCTTTTTTCTTAATCTAGGTGTACCTACCAACTACCAACCTATACTAACTGTGACGCAAAATTGTACTTCAATTAATAGTGATGGTTCACGATAGATTTTTTTCTTGGAATATTGCTGCTCTGTGTGCACGCCCGCGCTCGCTCCTGTAACGGAGAAGAACGAAAGGGTTTAAGCTTGTCGCAACAAGTTATCTCGAATATTTTATAGGAACTATAGCTTTAGACTTTAGTATCGAGTTTGTTGGTGCGCGACACTGAACAATGTCGTCTTTTCAGTTAGAGTTGGAAAGTTTTACTAGAAAATTACGTGTTTTGAAAAGAGATGTGGACAAACACTGTTTAAAACCCTTATTAACCAGTGAACGATAATTTTTCTATACCTATGCCAGTAATTATAATAATATAGGTAGATAGAAAAATACAACTACACATTGAAAATCACTTACTTTGTCTCGCTGGAAAATTTTCACTAGCACAACACCGATTAGCACGTCGCGAACTAGTGGAGGGATAAAAATACTAGCGGAATCTATGTTGAAGTAGATACAAATCCATCAATAATAAATTGGAAATTAGAAGTTAAAATTTTAGTAACGAGTAGAAGAGGTATACATGTGTAGCCTCTCAATTTTGCTACGAAAATGATTTTCAGAAACGTCCAGAGTTTTTAGGTAAGCTTCGCAATTTTGTTTTTTCCCATGCCTTCAAGACATTCAAAATAACTATAAAGGATATAAATTGTATAATAAAAAATAACGATTTCGTTAGGGTTAGGGTCTGATCCTCTACGAAGTCCTTAGGCTTCAAATTTATAACCACCCCCAAGATCGGAGTGATCCGTCAGCAGGTGCTACCTGCCTTTTCATCCCCCGCGCGACGACGACGAGTGGAATCCATGAGAATTTTCATTTTAGCCTTTTCAACCGCACAGAGACGGACGATGAAATTTTAATATCGGATTTTCAACTATTCGCCAGCAGCCGGGATGACGAGACGCGTAGGTTATGGAATGGTAATTGTGATGATTTTTACGTTTTTGATATTACGAAATTATTTTTCTCTCCGATTTCAGACTGTATTTTTTTTTTTTTCACTTGATTCGGCGTGAACTGTACGCCCCTGTCGGTCGTGGGTTGCATCATTAAAAGCCCTATGGGATAACAAGGGCTTTTAAGGGTTTAATAAATTGAGAAAAGATTCGCCACTTATCGTTATCTTGATTGTACATATGGACATCATGGTACATCGTGAGAAGAATTGTCCTAACGGTGAGCTGGTGGTGCGAGACCACCCTCCTCTGACGCAAAATGTTGGGGAGAAAAAAAAAACCTGATTCGTTCTTAGTTCAGGTTGAACTTTCAGTGCAATCAGTTTGTGCAGTGCTCTCTTAAGTTCCCCTTTTTTTTTTTTTTTGATTTTGCAGTGCTTTTTAGAGTAAAGTTAATTTTTTTTTTTTTTTTTTTGCTTTTTTTTTCTTCAATACCTAACTCTGCAAAATGGACAACAGACCCGTACGCTTGCTCACTTTCCAGAACCTTATATTTTCATTTTAGCATGACGACATACTGCTACCGTTGCCACGTGCCAATGGAGCGAATTTTAACCTGTTCCTGCGGTAGGGATCTCTGCGCTAGATGCTTCGCTCGCAGTCAAACGTGTTACTGGTGCTATGGGCCGTTCACGGCAGCAGCGACATTACGATTGCGGCGGGAGCGTTTGAGAGACCTCAGCGTT